CAGTGAGGCCAGATCCAGGCTGTAGTGTGACATGAAGGTGGTAAACAATGATCAGCTGCTCAACAGATCATTTTAGGAGAAACATTTGCCAAAGCTGCCCAAGCGATCTCTTGAGTTGGGTGAGCATTAACCACCTGAGGTGCTGGAAGGCCACAAGCCCCGATATACTTTGTGTATTATTCGAACAATCCACCCAGCTATTATTCTCTTGGATGCTACCAGGCCCTTCCTTGAGCCATTGGGGATGATGAATAAGTGCTGATCCTTTTTCTATATCCAACTCATGTAGTTTTGATGAATTCTGCTTTTCAGAAAAGGCTGGCATGACCCTGTTTTGCCTCAAAACAAAGTGTTTTTAACACTACTACAATCGCTCACTAATACACGGATTAGGCTTAATAAATATTAAAGCAAAACATGATTTATTGAATAAGTTCTGTTAGTATAATAACATAAGAATTGTCAGAATTGCAAAATCATATTTAGATCATATTATAGCAAGAATAAAGCATCAATACATCACCGGATATTGTAGCATCACCCACTGCCCAGTGACTGGGGGACTCCAACAGTCAGCAAAGGGGAGGGACTCCAAACATCAAAAGGGGAATCCGGGAAATCACCGCAAGGCACGTCTGCCGCATCTTCAATGAGTCCCAAATTCCCCTAGAATCCCCCGTCTTTTATATACATAGTTTGGAATGTCTTTATCTACTGCCATGCGCAGTATCTCCTGGTTGTATAACGTCATGTATGATTCTGCGGAGTAGTTACAGTCAACGCGTGATCGGCTGTGCCATCACGCGTAGTTACCTATTTTGATGGAATGCACATCTGGTGAATATCAGCCACATCTCTGGTTTCAACTGGTTTTAACTGGTTTAATGTACACTTCCAACATGTTATTTTGAACTCCAGTTACCCATCTAATGGTTATAATCGTTAGCATTATGACAGTTGAGTGTCAATCACTTCTCATCCATACATCCTATACACTCTTGTCACATATGTATCACAATCGGTCCTTGATTGAAACTCAAATGACATAAGTTGCCATAACCACCGTTGGTTTTTTGCAAAATAATTGTATGCTATATCAAATGAACAATTCCATAATGTCAATAATGCTATATAAAATATCAATAATAACCAGCAGAGGGTGCACTAGAAAATTCAAAACCTTAGTAGCCGAGGGAGAATAACCCAGAAATACATCCCACCAATGATGGGAGGTAGCGTCAGCTATGCTAGATCCTAGTTTTATCAGTCTTCCACTTGATATGGTCGTAGTCACCACATGTTGTGCAATTGTAGTGTTCAAATATTCAATATGTTGTTGAACTTCGATTGATTTATCCATTAATTGTTTCAAAAATGTTAAATTAAATTCCCAATTGGGAATTTCCAATGAATCACTTTTCCAATATTCCTGAACCGACTCATCCTTATCTCCTTGTAATATAAACGTTTCATTATGCCACATTAAAGAAGATATATTACTGATACAACCTAAAAAGGGAACTTTCATTCCTCTGACTGCAGGAATGTCAGTTACCATACACACAGTTTGTGGGGCTATTTTCTATTCTAAATCATTTAATAAGACATAGGTAGAATGGTCCATTTACATACATTTACAGTGTTCTGCAACAAACATGGCTCATATACAGAAGACTGCAACTTACATATTTTTCCCTCAAGAGTATTATCACAAAATGAGAGATCATGAGTTTTGTTATTATTGACTACATGGGTGCCATAAAACTCTGGACTCCAATAATGCTGAGCACCAGGTGCACCAATAATCAAAGGCATTACAACAAATTTACACATCGTAGTGGTTTTAGTAACATTATACATTAATATTGTTCCAAGACAAGTAGTGTCATTGCAGATCATTTTCTGAGCTTCTAAATGAACACCACATGTTTACTGGGATACTTTTGTTAAATGCGGTCCTCCACACTAATTCATTTCCCGTAGTGGTTTTAGCCTGCATTATTCATTTTTGTTGTTGCTCATATTGGTCTGCATGTACATACGTCCAATAATCTAATCACTTCAATGTTAAATCTTTTGTTAAATGCGGTCCTCCGTCACATTCATTTCCCGTCATTAACATAGCTGCATATTCATTTTTGTATATGTTAGCATGTACAAAATTAATCAACTTTGTAATGTTAGCATCAAAATAAAAAATAATTTGAAGCATTTACTACATGGAGCATCACATCACAGTTTTCTGTGCATGTTGACCCACTTTTTTTCACATGTAGAAGGCAATCTTTTAATATGTCCAGGGTCGCTATGAGTAGTGTTTGAATTTACAAAGATTAAGTACTGACCCCACCATGATCTTCCTTGGATTTCACTGGCGTTGGTACAAGTCATAATGATTGTCTCATTAAGAGCAAACTGAAAGACAGTAGTTGGTTTAGTCTTAGTGGTACAGTTTCTTGTTACGGACCTCCTATTTGCAGCTGACAAATAAATGAAGCTTGCTTCCTGTTGGCAACAGCAAATGCTAACTTCAGAGATTACATTTATCACACCTTCATTTCCATGAACCGCATATGTTGGCTTGTAACCCTCTATTGGAGCTCCTGTCCATACACTCCATTGAAGGTTATATTGGCTCCTGTACCGCACCCTCTATTGGAGCTCCTGTCCATACAGTACCATTGAAGGTTATATTTGGAATGGGGCAGGGCTGATTAGCTGGGCATATAAAATCGTCTTGAGTTCTATTCGTACGCATGCTTTTCCAACCCCAGCTCATTCTGACATTGCCGATATCTGTTACTTTAACTCCCGGCGTCCACGCTCCGACCTCTAATTCCACCAACCACACGATGCCAAGAATTCCAAGACTGAAGATAAGTATATCGTTGCTCTGTGAAAGACAATACAGTATGAATCATTCCCGCAAGTAACATTTTTCTTTGTGGGACATATTCCCACTTTTCTCTGCCTGGTTTCATGATCAGTATTGTGCGGTCCTTACCAACGGCTATTACTTCTGCAGGTTCCGGGGGACCAGATGCCCCCTGTACCCAAATTTTAGCCCCCACATTAACTGTGTTAGTAGAGCCAAAGCCTTGGTCTCCTCTAACCGTTAACTTTGTGGAAGCTTCGCCTTCTTTAATGTTAGCGATATACAAAGGAATCAAAAGCAATTGAGCCACCCGGTCCTGGGCTGGCAAGATCATGGACTCCATACCAATAATATATTCTTTTATAGGAACTATCAGTACAGGGTATTTTTGTGGAGGTATATTCCTAATTTTTAAGGTCACTTCAGTTTGTACACCTTCAGTCACCTTCCCCCCCAACCCTGATATTTTTACACTGGGGGTCCTTTAAATTTATTTGGATTTCCATAAATTAGAGTAGCCTCTGCCCCCGTGTCTACTAAAGCTGGCACTGTTTGTATATTACCCCCTTTCCAATGGATACTCACCTGTACATACGGCCTATCATCTTTTTTAATCCATATGGGGGCTTGGCTGGCTACTCATGCCAAATTATCCTCTTGCGATCCTAACAGATCTTTGGGAGGAGCTGAGGCTGTCTGAATTTTTTAAAGCTACCATGGTTGCTATTTCTTCCCAGGGATAGATTTTCTGAAACTGATCCCAATCAGGGAAATCTTCTACCCCTTTTTTCACCTTCTCCTGTTCCCTTTCTTGTCTCTTGTCTACATCCTTATGTTCTTTTAATGTTACTTCTGCTGTCAGGGCTCCCAGGTATGACCAGAGATGTGTGACTGACGCAGGGAAACGCAGACTTCAGATATGAGATAAACAATATAATTTATTAACACTAACAATACAACATAAACGCAGTGCAATACTAAACATAATACAGTGCAAACAAACCAAACCAAACCAACCACAGATAACAGTACATACAAGCAAGCGTCGTCAGGCAGGCCGGGTCAATATCAATTGGGCAGGTAGGTACAGGGGGAGCAAGCGGAGAATGGTCGGGGTCACAGGCCAGGTTCAGCAGGTAGCAAGCAGCGTAGTACAGAGGGTCAAGCAGAGGGATGGTCAGGGTCACAAGCCAGGGATCAGAACAGGTAGCAAGCAGCGTAGTACAGAGGGTCAGCAAAGGAACAGAAACAGGATGCAGGACAGATACAGGGCCCAGGACAAACACACACCAAGGCAGAGTCTGTGGGTCTGGCCATCCCTTAAATACCCCAGCATAATCAGTTCCAGGTGTTAGCTGGCTGCAAAGTTGAGTCTCTGATTGCTGGGAGCACCCGCTGGCCAGCCCTGGTACTGCAGATCAAAAGGCAGGTGAGTCCCACCATTGCTGGCCAGTCCATTCCTGACAGTACCCCCCCCTCAAGGAGCGGCCTCAGGACGCTCCAAACAGTCCTAGCTGGAAAAAATGTTCCACCGCCCGGGTCTGGTAACTGGCGGGATATCAAAGACTGGTACACCTGGCAGGACTCCGGGCAGCGGTACACCAGGCAGAGGCACATTGGGCTGGACTCCGGGCAGAAGCACATCGGGCAGAGGCACACCGGGCTGGACTCCGGGCAGAGGCACACCAGGCAGAGGCACATCGGGCTGAACTCCGGGCAGAGGCACATCGGGCTGGACTCCGGACAGAGGCACATCGGGCTGGACTCCGGACAGAGGCACATCGGGCTGGACTCCGGGCAGAGGCACATCGGGGCAGGACTCCGGGCAGAGGCACATCGGGCAGGACTCCGGGCAGAGGCACATCGGGCAGGACTCTGGGCAGAGGCACATCGGGCAGGACTCCGGGCAGAGGCACATCGGGCAGGACTCCGGGCAGGACATCGGGCAGGACTCCGGGCAGAGGCACATCGGGCTGGACTCCGGGGCAGAGGCACATCGGGCTGGACTCCGGGCAGAGGCACATCGGGCTGGACTCCGGGCAGAGGCACATCGGGCTGGACTCCGGGCAGAGGCACATCGGGCTGGACTCCGGGCAGAGGCACATCGGGCTGGACTCCGGGCAGAGGCACATCGGGTCACCGGGCGGAGCAGCAGGCACCGGGCCCCCGGGCGGAGCAGCAGCAGGCACCGGGCCCCCGGGCGGAGCAGCAGGCACCGGGCCCCCGGGCGGGAGCAGCAGGCACCGGGCCCCCGGGCGGGGCGAGCAGGCACCGGGCCCCCCGGGCGGGGCGACCGGCACCGGGCCCCCAGGCGGGAGCGGCGGGCGCCGGGCCCCCAGGAGGGGCGACAGGCATCGGGCCCCCAGGAGGGGCAACAGGCATCGGGCCCCCAGGAGGGGCGACAGGCATCGGGCCCCCAGGCGGGGCGACCGGCATCGGGCCCCCAGGCGGGGCGACCGGCATCGGGCCCCCAGGCGGGGCGACCGGCATCGGGCCCCCAGGCGGGCGGCGGCATGCCGGGCCCCCAGGAGGGGCGACAGGCATCGGGCTCCCAGGTGGGGCGACAGGCATCGGGCTCCCAGGTGGGGCGACAGGCATCGGGCCCCCAGGCGGGGCGACAGGCATCGGGCCCCCAGGCGGGGCGACAGGCATCGGGCCCCCAGGCGGGGCGGCGACAGGCATCGGGCCCCCAGGGTGGTGCGACAGGCATCGGGCCCCCAGGCGGAGCGGCGGGCGCCGGACCCCCAGATGGAGCGACAGGTCTCGGGCCCTCAGGCGGAGCGGCGGGCGCCGGACCCCCAGGTGGAGCGACAGGTCTCGGGCCCTCAGGCGGAGCGGCGGGCGCCGGACCCCCAGGTGGAGCGACAGGTCTCGGGCCCTCAGGCGGAGCGGCGGGCGCCGGACCCCCAGGTGGAGCGACAGGTCTCGGGACCCCCAGGTGGAGCGACAGGTCTCGGGCCCTCAGGCGGAGCGGCGGGCGCCGGACCCCCAGGTGGAGCGACAGGTCTCGGGCCCCCCGGAGCGACAGGCGGAGCCCAGGCGGAGCTCTCGGGCGCCCAGGGGACGACCCCCCCCGGCGGAGCGACAGGAGGCCCACAGGCGGAGCGCGGCAGCCGGAGCGCGGGCGCCGGACCCCCAGGGGGAGCGACAGGTCTCGGGCCCTCAGGCGGAGCGGCGGGCGCCGGACCCCCAGGTGGAGCGACAGGTCTCGGGCCCCTCAGGCGGAGCGAGCGGCAGGGACGGGGCGCCGGACCCCCAGGTGGAGCGACAGGTCTCGGGCCCTCAGGCGGAGCGGCGGGCGCCGGACCCCAGGTGGAGCGACAGGTCTCGGGCCCCCAGGCGGAGCGACAGGTCTCGGGCCCCCAGGCGGAGCGGCGGGCGCCGGACCCCCAGGTGGGAGCGACAGGTCTATCGGGCCCCCAGGCGAGAGCCGACAGGTCTCGGGCCCCCAGGCGGGAGCGGCGGGCCGCCGGACCCCCAGGTGGAGCGACAGGTCTCGGGCCCCCAGGCGGAGCGACATGGGCTCGGGCCCTCAGGCGGAGCGGCTGCGGGCGCCGGACCCCAGGTGGAGCGACAGGTCTCGGGCCCTCAGGCGGGAGCGGCGGGGCGCTGGACCCCCAGGTGGAATCTGCGACAGGTCTCGGGCCCTCAGGCGGTAGCGGGCGGCGGGCGCCGGATCCCCAGTTGTGGTGGAGTGACAGGGTCTTGGGCCCCCAGGCGGAGCGGAACAGGTCTCGGGGCCCTCAGGCGGAGGGCGGGCGCCGGACCCCCAGGTGGTAGCGACAGGTCTCGGGCCCCTGCAGGCTCCAGAGCGGCGGGCGCCGAGTCATCTGGCACGACAGTGGGCTCCGAGTCAACTGGCTCACCAGGCGACCGCTGGCACTGGTTGGTCAGACATTGAATCGTCTGGCTGGACAGCGGGCATCGGGTCACCCGGCATCAGGTCATTTGGCTCGACCGCGGGCACCGCATTATCTGGCAAGGTAGTGGGCTCGAGTCAACTTGGTATGGCCGCGGGCACTGGGTCAGACATTGAATCGTCTTTCTCGGACTGGACAGCGGGCATCGGGTCACCATGGGCATCAGGTCATTTGGCTCAACAGCGGGCACCGCGTCATCTGGCAAGGCATGTGGGCTCCGAGTCAATGGTTGGTATGACCACGGGCACTGGGTCAGACATTGGATCGTCTGACTGGACAGCGGGCATCGGGTCACCAGGCATCAGGTCATTTGGCTCTCAACAGCGGGCACCGCGTCATCTGGGCAAGGGCAGTGGGCTCCGAATCAACAGGCACGACAGTGGGCACCGGGTCATCATGTGGTACCGGATTGTCTGGCTCGAAGAGCAGCGGGCACTGGGTCGCCAGGCATCAGGTCATTTGGTTGCCAGCGGGCACGCGGTCATCTGGCAAGGCAGTGGGGCACCGGTGTCACCAGGCATTGGATCGTCTGGCTCGACAGCGTGGCATCGGGTCACCAGGTATGACAGCGGGCACTGGGTCACCAGGCATCAGGTCATTTGGCTCGCCAGCGGGCACCGCAGTCATCTGGCAAGGCAGTGGGCACCGAGTCACCAGGTACGACAGCGGGCTCTGAGTCAATTGGCACGACAGCGAGCACCGGATCAGGTACCGGATCATCTGGTATCAACAGCGGGCATCGAGTCAACTGGCCTAATAGGATCATCAGGCTGGATCAGTTCATCATGCTGGGTAGAGGTGGCATCAGGCTGAATGCCGGCGTCGAGGCGATTCAGGCTGAGTAGAGGCTTCAGGCCGAGTAGAGGGCTTCAGGCCGAGTAGAGGCTTCAGGCCGAGTAGAGGATTCAGGCCGAGTAGAGGCTTCATGGCCGAGCCGAGTAGAGAGGCTTCAGGCCGAGTAGAGGCTTCAGGCCGAGTAAGTAGAGGCATCAGGCCGAGTAGAGGATTCAGGCCGCGTAGAGGCTTCAGGTTGAGTAGAGGCTTCAGGTCCGAGTAGAGGCTTCAGGCTGAACCACGGAAGGCAGGTTCCACCAGTTTGGATACTGGCAGGATGGTTTTGGTTGGAAAGAATTTTCGCTTTTTTCTGGTTTTAACTACTGGAGCACTGCAAGGTAAACGCAGGTCTGCAAACGAATGGAGCAGCTGGAGACAGAGAAGAACTGGAGGATGGAACAGGAGTGGGGAGCAGTTGCTACAGAGGGCGTTTTTTTTACAGGGTTAAAAGGCTTGACAGGGATAGGTGCAGCGAGGTGGGAACAGGGTACTGACATGCAAGTGGGAAGATAGCCAAGAGTATACTGGGCTGTAACTGATAGAGCTGTTGGGAATACAGGAGAAGAGTTAGAAGCAGGATCTGGGTTCTTTGATAAGCTGACTGAGGCTGGGTGCAACAAGTCTGTCCATGTAATGCAGTAGGGGGGCCGCCCCCGCCCGCTCTCCTCTCCCCCCCCCTTTGAACCAAGCTGAGCTTACACAAAGCCTGTTGGTCAATGACTGTACTGCGTTTATACAATCTCTTAGTGGTCTGTGGTGAACATGTGGAATAAACGCTCCAGAAAGTAATCCACATCATCCTTAATAACCACACCAGGGACTCTACCTTGGTTTGCACTAAATGGTGGCAAAAAAAATTCATCCCTGCATTCGGGTGGTACCAGATGAAACCAATCACTCTGCACAAACCTCAATCAAAGGCTGCACCTCAGAGAACTCTGTGCCCTGATCTACTAGAACATGAGCGAGCCGTATACATTCTAGCAGTTCATACCGGGGATACTCCTTCAGAGTTTGATAAGCATACTCCCTGTCATCAAACACTAGCAGATATAAATAACTCAACCTCATCCAGATCCATCCTTCCCATCAACAAACCAAGATGGCTTCCCTGTGCAGCCACTTCTGGTCAGGATTGGCCTTGGTGTAATGTCAGGGCTCCCAGGTATGACCAGAGATGTGTGACTGACGCAGGGAAATGCAGACTTCAGATATGAGATAAACAATATAATTTATTAACACAACTAACAATACAAACATAAACGCAGTGCAATACTAAACATAATACAGTGCAAACAAACCAAACCAACCACCCACAGATAACAGTACATACAAGCAAGCGTCGTCAGGCAGGCCGGGTCAATATCAATTGGGCAGGTAGGTACAGGGGGAGCAAGCGGAGAATGGTCGGGGTCACAGGCCAGGTTCAGCAGGTAGCAAGCAGCGTAGTACAGAGGGTCAAGCAGAGGGATGGTCAGGGTCACAAGCCGGGGATCAGAACAGGTAGCAAGCAGCGTAGTACAGAGGGTCAGCAAAGGAACAGAAACAGGATGCAGGACAGATACAGGGCCCAGGACAAACACACACCAAGGCAGAGTCTGTGGGTCTGGCCATCCCTTAAATACCCCAGCATAATCAGTTCCAGGTGTTAGCTGGCTGCAAAGTTGAGTCTCTGATTGCTGGGAGCACCCGCTGGCCAGCCCTGGTACTGCAGATCAAAAGGCAGGTGAGTCCCACCATTGCTGGCCAGTCCATTCCTGACATCTGCACTCTTCTTATCAACCTTCCTTCCTGAAAGCACTTTTTGCTTATATAATTTCCACAATACTTGTATATCTTTCCCATCAATGTGTTCTTTAGGAACTCCAGCTTTAAGTAAAGCCTGGAACATATCTTTCCAGGACAGGTGATTATCCACATTCCCCTTCTGTCAAAGGGGAGGTGAGTTATTGCTCTCTCTTATCTCTGGAGGAGGAAGATTTAACCTATTCTCCCATATCCTGAAATTCAGCTATCTTATCCACTATCTCTTCCCATCTACTGTTATTTAATGATATTAACAATGTCATGATTACATATTTATACATGATTACAGGTTTATACATTCCTAATTATCCTTTTTCGGCCAGCTAAGGTCATGGAAGTATCCAGATATCTATCTGTTTCATCCATAACCAATGCTACCTTCATAGCTTCCTCTTTACACCTCCTGTTTCTATTTTCTTTCTCCTAGTAACTGGTTCAGGGTCCGGGCAACTGGGTCCTCCCGGACAGTCATCCCAAGCATCATCTGATGAGGAATCCCATACATCAGCATCCCATTTACCCGGATCCCAATTAACTGTGGCTGCTGCTATTGCCTGCTGCACTTTTCCACGGTTCACCCTTCCCCTTCGTTTCCTATACTTTATTTTGGGCCACTTTTACTGCTGCCATCTCAGCTATATTTTGATAATGTTCTAATTTATCTTTCAACAATTTTTGCCCACATTGCAGAAGAACAATTTTACCTTCTTGTTCTATGGTCTTCTGCTCTAGCTGATGGTAATCCTTCATTACCTGATGTAATTTCTTATGAATCTTCCTGTATGCAGTTAGCAAAATCCAACTGCGTCTGCCTAAAGCTACTGCATCACCTGCCTTGGCAGGGATCCCCTCAAGTACATTTACAACATCAAGGGGTTCAATACCTTTAAACCTACTATCCCATGATTCTGCCAACCCTGCACCTGACAATTCCTGTGCTAAAATATCATATGGAGCCTCGGTCCAGCCGGGAATCTCCACCTTATCAATCTTACCCTTCGCTTTTCGCTTAAACATATCTGGTTCTTTTCTAAAATGCCAGGTAGCTAAATCTCCGAAATTTGTTGGCAAAATGCCAAATGTCAATATTTTGCACAGAGGCCCCCTGGTACCTAGGGGTCAACATGCAAAAATAATTTTTTCAAAATAAACTTCCTATTAGGAATATTTCTACTTGGCATCCTGCCGACTATGCCAATTTATGTTTTGCCTCAAAACAAAGTGTTTTTAACACTACTACAATCGCTCACTAATACACGGATTAGGCTTAATAAATATTAAAGCAAAACATGATTTATTGAATAAGTTCTGTTAGTATAATAACATAAGAATTGTCAGAATTGCAAATCATATTTAGATCATATTATAGCAAGAATAAAGCATCAATACATCACCGGATATTGTAGCATCACCCACTGCCCAGTGACTGGGGGACTCCAACAGTCAGCAAAGGGGAATCCGGGAAATCACCGCAAGGCACGTCTGCCGCATCTTCAATGAGTCCCAAATTCCCCTAGAATCCCCCGTCTTTTATATACATAGTTTGGAATGTCTTTATCTACTGCCATGCGCAGTATATCTCCTGGTTGTATAACGTCATGTATGATTCTGCGGAGTAGTTAGTTAGAGTCAACGCGTGATCGGCTGTGCCCATCACGCGTAGTTACCTATTTTGATGGAATGCACATCTGGTGAATATCAGCCACATCTCTGGTTTCAACTGGTTTTAACTGGTTTAATGTACACTTCCAACATGTTATTTTGAACTCCAGTTACCCATCTAATGGTTATAATCGTTAGCATTATGACAGTTGAGTGTCAAT